AAGACCCACCAGGGCCAAACTCCAAGATCTACATTTGGAATTTCCCCACTTTGATGAGTTAAAGACACAAAAGGTCAAATTATCAATATTTAATTCAAGTGGAAATACATCTTTTGAGAAAAGAAAGAAGACATTTTATTTGAGGAAGGTGAAACTCTAGGAGTGAATTCTTGAACTTAAAATAATTATGCCTTTAAATGACAATGATGTGTCAACAGCTGATGGGGGATTTTGTTTGCTAATCATATTGGGAAATTATATCAATAAAAGAGAAGCTCAGGCTTCTCTTTTATTTCCACATTGCCTTATCAATCCCAATCTAACAGGGAGTATGATACATACTTAGCAAACACTTGGGTTTTTGTTGAAAGTGTTTGCTCTTTCCAGAATCTCAGCACTAGACTTTGCTTTCCATCATATTCTCAAGTAGCCATGTGTACCAATGCAGTATTTAAGTCCCGATGGTTTATCAAATCTGAGAAATTAATATAATTTCTCCCACTAATAGAAGTCATTTATGGTATAAATAACCAGACAGTTGATTTGATAATTGTGATGAAGAAGTATTTACATCCTCAGTAAAATAGAATCAAAACCAATTTTTAGGCATTTTATTATCTCCATAGAAGCCTCGTGGCAATTAGGTTCAAATGTTTGAATACTGACTTTTGTTTCAGACACATTGACTGGAATTTGTTTAATCTCTCCCTGCTCCACATCAGGATGTCTAGGTTTCCAGGAAACTTACCCTGTTAAGGTTGTTAACTAGATGCCCTAGAGCTTACCACTGATTTTGGCAAAAGAAAACCATTATGAAAAAAAAAGCAGAAGACATCTGGGGACTTCTCACTAAATGTGAAAGGAAGTTTCAGGAGCCCCAAGGTAGGAGTTGTCCACGGTGCTGATACTCCCAGGAAGCCCTTTCCCTATGGCTGCCTGGACTCTAAGCCTGGCTGGTCAGTATTATTCTACTTTGCCTTTAGATCTCTGCTCTGCTCTTTCCCCAGCCTTAGGTGGCAGCCATTGTTCAGGACATACGGTGTGCGTCGCTGACTCTTGACTCCTAAAGCTGACTCTTGACACCTATCTACAAGGGATTCATTTTTTTTTTCTTTTTTGTTGTGGCAAAGGCTGGCAAATACCGGTTGCTTGAGGATCCCTTTGAACCACAAGCTGTTCTTCACTTCCTGAGAAGTGAAGCCCTTGAGCACATAGCCACCCACTCACAACATAAACAGCACGGATACACACATTTACGCCCTCAAAAGTTCGAATACACGTAGACAACCGTGCACATAATCATTTATTCAGGATTATACAACTCCACACGTGCTCATAAGTTAGCACTCAGATTCACACGCTTGAACACTCAACCACAATCGCACATTAACACATTTGCACACGCAGGCTTTCTGACAACAAACGTGCCTGAGAGCGGCATCTGCCAAGGTGCTCTGGTGGCGTTTATTTTTATGTTGTTGATTCCGAGTGCTGAATGGATTTAAAGGAAGCCCCTTAATTCTGACAGGGAGGCAGAGGTGTATTCTCTTGAGGTCTGTTGGCGCCAGGAGGGGAGCCACTAAGGCCCCAGCGGGATCTGAAGAACGTAAATAATAAATAAAAGGGCTCAGGCAGTCCGTGCTGGGGAAGCCCTGCACTAAATCACTTCCCAAATCACAGCCTCATCGTCCTCCATCCAATAGCTCTAAGCAATTTGTGGAGTTGGGGGTTGGAATCAATTTTTTTTTCGGTTCTCGCAGGTGCAATATGAATCAATTATCTTAATTAAGATTATGCCGCAAGCCCTGGAGATTTGGGGAGAACGGGTTTTGCGCTCCAGGCGATAGCAAGGCATTTTAATAGCTTCTCTCCTGCTCCTGGCTCTCTCCTGTCGCCTGCCTGTCGAGTCCGGACAACTCCAGCTTCTGGCCAGGACCTTGCAGTTCAACCACCTCCCGAGAGGATGAGGAGCAAAGCTTTGAGTCAACCAGGGAGTCTGACCCGAACCAGCATTCTCTGACCTTGCTATCGGGCCTAACAGAGGGCCTTAGTTTTAGCTGCTGCCCTAGCGACCCACTGCTCCCCAAGGTCTCCAAGTATTCTCTGTGCTGGGTAGCAATGGCCTCCTGCGGATGGAGTGTGCCCAGGCCAGACCACCTGACTCCAAGGCCCTTCAGGAAGGGGCTCAGGGTGACTCTGAGTCGGTGGGGTAGCCATGAACAGACTGGGTCCTTCCATGGAACGCAAGCATCTGTTTCTGAGAAAAACAGGTCACCACCCAGGACGCTGCAAGCCGCGGCCCGGCTCTTTATCTTAGCTCTGTGAATGTGTTCCCAGCCAAGACACACTCCTCTGTCCCTGTCCCCTCTCCCCCCATCCCTCCCCAGGCCTCTGCTTCCCCGTGGGAGCCCAAGGCTGAGGCTATAACGGCCTGAAGGCGGGTCCAGTGCTGCGCTGGGAAGTAGGACCCGGCGGGGTGGCAGATTTAGGGCATTGCTCGAGGGCATTGAGTCATGAAAAGCCGCTTTTGTTGCTTGCGCGTGCAGCTCGCGTGCCGCCCGGCTGCCTAGGGCGCCTGGTGGGGCCAGAGCTGGGGGAGTGCGGCTACTCACCCCGCCACCATGCCAGCAGATTCAGCAGCACACAGGGTCGCTAGCCAGGGACTCCACCGTACCTCCCGCTGGGTGCAGTTCAGGTTGGCCCCATGGTTTTGCCCCCCACCCCACGAATACACGTACAAACCAAAAATCTTAATTCCCATCCTTATTATGCAGTTGCTGCCTCCGGGAAGCTCAGGGTGCATTTGCCGGGAGCCTTGGTGTTTGTGACTCAGGACTTGGCTTCTGGGCCACATTACACTGCTGCAAGAAGCTCAAAGAGAGACCTTACTTCAGGTAACAGGAATATCCAAATGTAAACTTTTCCTTCCACACATCCCAGAGCCTTCTCTTTCATCCTGCCCTGCTCCAACAGTTCTTCTGTAGCATCCTAAGAAATGGAGAGGTGAGGGCTGGAGAGATGGCTCAGCCGTTAAAGGCTAGGCTCACAACCAAAAACATAAGAAATGGAGAGGTGAGAGCCAGGATCGGCATCAATGAACCATGATATAGCATCTCTGAAAAGGAAGACCACAGTAAGAACTCCACTGTGAATAGACCTCAGGGTTTAGGCTGGGATCTAGTATTCTGAGGTCTCCGTGCTTTAAACTCAGCACCCAGAATAAAACACAGACAGCGCTCCTTGATCACTCTACTCTTTGCCAGTTGACAGAACAACAACAACAACAAAAAGCAAAACTTCAGGCAGTTCTGCTTTGAGAGCCCAGAAGGATTGGTGCCATGCTTGGGGCTACCAACAATGCCTTGCTTTTCTCTTCAGATTCACTCTGGATCTGGAAGGCCACATTCATCTCCCTTCACAAGTTCAGAATCTACTTAGAACCCTCTCCTCCTGCCTCCCAGATGTACCCCACTCCAGCCGCTCAACCCTGACACTGTTTGCAAACTTGAGGGCAGTTGTGTTTACATAAGCAATTCAAGTAGGATGCACTCATTGCAAACGGGTTGGAGGAGGGTAAGAACTTAATGAAGAATTAGAAGAGAAACTGGAAGAGAAAGGAGTCATCCATTCCTCCTCCTCTCTCTGCATTCTTTCTTGCACAGGAGGTGTGGAGGGGCATCTTTCTGGAACATGCCCAGATGGAGAAAATAAGAAATCGTTATTTAAGACTAGATAATGCTCATTCTTCCAGAATAGGCTTTGCTGTACTCGGGAGAGGCCAGATCAAATCAGAGGCTTGGAGGGTTGGAGATCCCTCCAAACAAAAGTATGCTAATAATTGAGAGAGAGAGAGAGAAAAAAAAATGACACCTTGAATAAAGTTCCATTTCAGTTCTCTTTTGAGAGTTTTTTGACCCAGGATTCCGAGGTCAGGGATTGAGCACCATGGGCTAGAGAAAGACTATGGTTGAAATCTGTGTCAGGAATGAAATGGTAAGCAGGGGCCACAGGAGTGTTGAATCTCAGTGTCCCCTAGACAGGCTAGGTGAGGTCATCTTTTACTACAGACGCTTTTGAAAGCCAGTGGAGCCAAGGCTGCAGCAAAAAACTAGAATAGGCACAAAATTCTGGTGGTCAGATTTGAAGATTGTCTTAGTGAAGTCTCCAAGGATAGGAGCAAATGAACGTAAGGATATGAAGGGTCACATTTTAGGAGTCCAGTGGTAAATATAATTTTTTTCTTTTGTAGAGGTTGGGAGAGGTTGATTTAGTCAGAAAGGTTGAGAACTAGTCAAAGCTGTTTTTCCGATGAGGTCATTTTTATATGAAATATACGTTTGCCTTGAGGGGTGATGGAGATTAGAAGCCAGCCACCCTTTGGTGCCAATGAGCAAAGCGTCTGCCAAGGGATACAAGCCAAGAGATGGCCCTCTCTGAGAGCAGTCAAGCTGCACAAGAGACCATTGTCAAGGGGAGGGTTCTTCAGCGCGCCTCAGTCTCCCTGGTTGTGCCTGGTTCTCTTCTGTCTCCCTTCTGGTGCTAAGAGACAGGCTTCAGGCTAGGACCTAGACCTAGTCATCTTAACCTTTCCCACTCGCCTCCAGCAAACCCCTCCCCTATGTCCTCTGCCTTCTGCCACCACAAAGGGTTAATCTCTCCTGCGGGTAAAAACAGGTCCACGGAGTCTCTAACTGGCGACAGATGGGCCACTTTCTTCTGGCCACAAAGGGGCCGGAATGGAGCGCTCCGCGGCATACAAATAGGCAGGTCACGTGGTTCCCGGCTCTTGGCTGGACCGGGAAGACCATATGGCGCATGCCGGGGAGGAAGGAGCAGGGGCGGGGGTACAGTGGGGGTGAGGGGAGTGGTGGTGGAAGGGGGCGGGAGGGGAGTTCTGAGGAGGGGTGATTGGGGGCTGGAGACGCTCAGCCCGGACGCGTGCGCGATTGCGGGGCACAGGGACCTGCTCCTTGCTCAGCTCGCAGCCCCGCCCGCATCAGCAACAAGGGTATATAACCCTGGAGCTGGAGCCGCCTGGACACGAGGAATTCGCCCACGCAGAAGGCACAGTGTCCCGAGGCTCCAGGGTTATGAGATCGTCACTGCTCAGGACATTCTAACAACAGGTAATTACGATTCCTATTTTTCCTCTCTCGAGAATAAAAGCATTAATTGAAGAACTGTACCTTGGTACTTTGCATGAGCAAATTCGTGGAGTCCGCTGTCCGTGTACTGAGATCAGTGTCCCTCCCTGTAATTGCCCACAAGTACTCTCACAAAATGAGTCCCAGCACTCAAGTACCCCCTGCAGGTTTTCTAATTAAATTTAATATCTAATAGTATAAGAGCTTTTAGGATGTTTATGGTGTGTGTGTGGGGAGAGTAACTGTAATTATTTGTAAGCGATTATTTGAAAGTCCCCAAAGCAAACAACCACTTCACATTCTCCCTTATTCCGGTGAGGAAAGGAGAGGAAAAATTGCTTGCTGCCCAGAATTTTATTTTGTGTACAGATATTTAGGGGCACTGTGAATACGAAACTATCTATTTCAGGGGCATGGAGTACTCACATCCTGAAAGTCTGATCACACACTCTGAGATAGTTTAGCTCAGATGTTGGGGGAGAGAGAGGGAGAAAGGGAGGCTTCTGCTACCTGTTACTGCCCCAGAGGCGGCCAAGTCTCCAGCAGCTTCTGCAGGGGCCAGACATTCAGTTGTTTTACTAAAGGCTTCTTACAGTCCTTATTAGAAGCAGCACCTTCACCATTGCCAATCGCTGACCATTGTAATTACTCAATCTTTTAAAGGGAGGTTTGAGGCGAACTTTGAAAAGCCCCAATAAAGAGCAGGCGGCCCTTTCAATGGGCTGTTTATTAGCGAGGAGCCTTCGGCACCTGATCCCCGGCGCGTGGGAGAGCCTCGATTGGGAGCCAGGGCTTTTGTACAAGGTGGGAATTTAGCAGGGGGTGTGAGGAGAGGAAAGAAAGGGAAGGATGAAGGATGTGTGCCCACTTCTGTGGCCAAATGTGTCGTTGCTAGAAAAATAATTTGGTACAAACTACTTTTCCTCGTGCATTGGCTCTCCAATCTCCCTTCTGTATAATCTTCTTACAAATCAGGGTCAGTGTTAGTAAATTACGTAATGGCTCTTCTATTTATTTAAACCTCTAAGTACCTAGAAGCCAGAACAGAGATGGGTTCAGAATGTTCCATTTCCAAACTAATCATTTTTGTGAGCTGGGAGTCACTTGGGGCACATGCAGAAAAATATGTACACTGCACTTGTTTCCACCCAGCATCTGGCCAGGCAATCAATCGCCTTGCACACAGTTAAGTCGATCACTAGGAAACCTACCCACAGCCATCCATGACAGCCCCAGCACTACCTACAACGCAGCAGCGAGGCAAAACATTCCAGCATGAAGCACTGCATTTAACTTTTCCTAAAGGCATCCATTTTGCAATGGACTCATGTGCATTTCTGCGGGGTTAGGGAGAGGGAGTTGAAGGCTTATCCAGCTTTTAAATGTAGTGGGTTTTTTGTTTGTTTTTCCTTTCTTCTTTCTGCTTGCCTCTCTCCCTGTTGAATACAGGAAGTGGAAACATGACCAAATCATACAGCGAGAGTGGACTTATGGGCGAGCCTCAGCCCCAAGGTCCCCCAAGCTGGACAGATGAGTGTCTTAGTTCTCAGGACGAGGAACATGAGGCAGACAAGAAGGAGGACGAGCTCGAAGCCATGAATGCAGAAGAGGACTCTCTGAGAAACGGAGGAGAGGAGGAGGATGAAGATGAGGACCTGGAAGAGGAGGAGGAGGAAGAGGAAGAAGATGATCAAAAGCCCAAGAGACGGGGCCCCAAAAAGAAAAAGATGACCAAGGCGCGCCTAGAGCGATTTAAATTAAGGCGCATGAAGGCCAACGCCCGTGAACGGAACCGCATGCACGGGCTGAACGCAGCGCTGGACAACTTGCGCAAGGTGGTACCCTGCTACTCCAAGACCCAGAAGCTGTCCAAGATCGAGACACTGCGTTTGGCCAAAAACTACATTTGGGCTCTATCCGAGATCCTGCGCTCAGGCAAAAGCCCTGACCTGGTCTCCTTCGTCCAAACGCTCTGCAAAGGTTTGTCCCAGCCCACCACCAACCTGGTCGCTGGCTGCCTGCAACTCAATCCCCGGACTTTCCTGCCCGAACAGAACCCTGACATGCCTCCGCATCTGCCCACAGCCAGCGCTTCCTTCCCAGTACACCCCTACTCCTACCAGTCCCCAGGGCTACCGAGCCCTCCCTATGGCACCATGGACAGCTCCCACGTCTTCCACGTCAAGCCGCCGCCACACACATACAGTGGGGCTCTGGAACCCTTCTTTGAAAGCCCCCTGACTGATTGTACCAGCCCTTCCTTTGACGGACCTCTCAGCCCGCCGCTCAGCATCAATGGCAACTTCTCTTTCAAACACGAACCATCCGCCGAGTTTGAAAAAAATTACGCCTTTACCATGCACTACCCTGCAGCGACCCTGGCAGGGCCCCAAAGCCACGGATCAATCTTCTCGGGTCCCGCTGCCCCTCGCTGCGAGATCCCCATAGACAATATTATGTCTTTCGATAGCCATTCGCATCATGAGCGAGTCATGAGTGCCCAGCTCAATGCCATCTTTCACGATTAGAGGCACGTCAGTTTCACCATTCCCGGGAAACGAACCCACTGTGCTTACAGTGACTGTCGTGTTTACAGAAGGCAGCCTTTTTGCTACGATTTCTGCAAAGTGCAAATACTCGAAGCTTCAAGTGATATATGTATTTATTGTTGTTACTGCCTTTGGAAGAAACAGGGGATCAAAGCTCCTGTTCACCTTATGTATTGTTTTCTATAGCTCTTCTATTTTAAAAAAATAATAACAGTAAAGTAAAAAAGAAAATGTGTACCATGAATTTCGTGTAGCTGTATTCAGATCATATTAATTATCTGATCGGGATAAAAAAAATCACAAGCAATAATTAGGATCTATGCAATTTTTAAACTAGTAATGGGCCAATTAAAATATATATAAATATATATTTTTCAACCAGCATTTTACTACTTGTTACCTTTCCCATGCTGAATTATTTTGTTGTGATTTTGTACAGAATTTTTAATGACTTTTTATAACGTGGATTTCCTATTTTAAAACCATGCAGCTTCATCAATTTTTATACATATCAGAAAAGTAGAATTATATCTAATTTATACAAAATAATTTAACTAATTTAAACCAGCAGAAAAGTGCTTAGAAAGTTATTGCGTTGCCTTAGCACTTCTTTCTTCTCTAATTGTAAAAAAAAAAAAAAACAAAAAACAAAAGAAATTGCACAATTTGAGCAATCCATTTCACTTTAAAGCTGTTCCCTCTCCTTAAAATAGAAACCAGATTCATAACTTTCAAGAGGATGAAAAAGAGATCATGTCTTATCAAAACATATCAAGTCATTACTTGCACAAGCTTGTATATACATATTATAAATAAATGCCAACACACAAACACACACACACACACACACACTCCTTTAAATCAAAAGCTGCTTGACTATCACATACAATTTGCACTCTTTCATTTTTAGTCTTTTCTTTGAATTCCATGATTTTACAGAGTGTCTGAAGCTATGTTTCCAGAAAATATAAATGCATGATTTTATACATAGTCAAACAAATGGTGGTTTGTCATCTATTCATGTAATAAATCTGAGCCTAAATTTATTCAGGTTGTTAATGTTGGGATTGACACCTATGTAGTCAGTTAGTACAGTAGATTAAATAAAATTCAAACCATTGAATTCATAATTAGAACAATAGCTATTGCATGTAAAAATGCAGTCCAGAACAAGTGCTGTCTGGGACGTGTTGCTGGTACCACTGGATTTGACCTGTACTGTAATCTTGTTTGTAACCCTGTGTATTATGGTGTAATGCACAATTTAGAAAACGCTCATGCAGTTGCAATAAAAATAGTATTGAAAATCAGAACAATTGTTTCATTTCTTCCCAAATGGTTTTAAAAGGGTAAAATTGTGCTGAGGAGGATCAACTTTTGGATCTGCTGAGTTAAAAATGTTAAGCACTGGTTGCAAAGTAAAAAGTTGAGATTGTTCTGTGCTTACTCTGTTATCTTGTTTAGGGAGTCTCCACTTCCTCAGACCTAGTTTCTGTTTCATTATTTGGAATACTGGGCTGCAGAGTAAGCTAGACAAACAGCTGTGCTTCTCCTTTACATTTCTTCACCTTTGGGGTAGATTTTTTTTTCCCTGTCTGTGTATTTGTTGATATTTGTTGAAATGGTTGTCAGAGGTTTCTTTTATTTTTAACATGGATTGACTTAGTTATTAGACAGAAAGACACAAACAAATACCTTAGTTTTATTTGTTTACGCATTTACATCATAAAAATACTTGCATATTTTCTTATGTTCTGTTACCTGTACATTTTCCTGAACTAAATAGCTGTCTTTTAAAACAGTACCATAATTTCAAAAATATGTATTTGATATTGTAGGGAAATTAATTAATTGAAAGATATCCAGAAAATGTGTCTTGGAATGACTTCAATAATTTTTCCACAGAAGTGTTTGTACATAAGAATATACTATTTTGGTTCTATTTAGGAAAGTACATTGCTTCCCAGGCTCCTTTGCATTCCTAGTAATTTGAATTTCAATTTCATAAATGCACACACATTCACTTCACAACTTAACTTCTGCCATCGGTAAGTCCACTTAAAAAATTGTTTGGCATTTCTCTTCCCATGAGAAATAACTGACAGCCTGGATTCCTAGGGAACAGCATTTTGGGAGTTGTACCCTAGTTCTACTGTGGTTTTCTGATTACTGTCATTAGAAACTCCATTGTTCCTTCTCTGATTTGGAGGCCTCATGGATGCCCACCTCTCTTCCCAACCATGTCTCCTTTAATCTCCTTCTCATTGGTGATTTAAGGGCTCCAGAAAGCTGACCTCATTTAGCAAGCTGCTCCAGAAAAATGTGAGTAGTGTAATAGACAGGAACAATTAGCCATAGTAATAACATTGCCAATGGGGCTGCATCAAGCTGTGACAGTAGCAGTAAGGGATATTTTAATGTAAAAAAAAAAAAGAGTGTAATTTAAAATACATCATTTACACATGTTCTCCATCAGCCTTCATCATACATAGAAATACATTTAAGTTAGTCCCAATCTTATCCCAAATACAGCTATCTCTTTCCAAGTGAATCAGAGCAGTTCTTTTGGAATCAAGCTGTTGCTTCCCTTAGCCTGGATTCTTCACCCATTCTGACTTTGACAGACATAATGTTGATATTTGAATACTTCCAGCCTCCCAGCATAGGAGAACATGAAGTGAACATTCAGGCCTGATCTGATCTATTAAGCAGCTCGATTTCACCTGTAATTAAAATTAGACATCCCCATGCAAACTAAAAACTGTTGCTATAGGGAACAGACAAACCGAGAATCATGTTTTTAGAATCTCAACATTTAAAACAGAAAGCAAAGAAAGCTAGACTGTAGGTTTCGTTGAAAGTAGAAATGAAAGACAAAGGTTCTGTTTCACTCTTTTTGTTTTTCATTTTGTGTTTATAATTTCACTCTAAGCATCGGGATTCTTTCAGTCAGTTGGGGAGTAACTCACATGCCACCATCTTTTATTCAAAGGCAGGCACAGATGTTCCTTCTGCAGGGGAGGTTTTAATTTATGAAAATGATATTGTTTATGCATGAATGAACTGCATGCACTCTGCATAACGCATAGCACTTCCATCTGATGGGAAAAATACCACCGAACCAGCACCAATGTCAGAAACATATTCTCCACATTTACTCACTTAAATGTTTAATGAATATTTGGAAGGCATTTTCAAATCATAAGGAATCTTTTAAATGATCTCCTTCATTTCTTTTATGAATTGTTAACCATATTTTAAAGACAGTTTTACAGTTTCTACATTTGCTTAATTTTTACATAGAGCTAATAAGAAAACAGTTTGCTCGGTGAAGACATATCAAAAAAGAAAGAGAATGGAAAGATTCTGATAGCTTTGTCCATATTCAGCAAAGCAACATTTCTTAGGTTTTTGCTGTGTGGTATTAGCTACATTACTTGAGTTCTGTGTTGCCTTTGAGCAATTGCTGTTCCTACCATTGAAAATGCTTTTATATTTTTAATGTTAAAGCACCTAAAGAAGTTGTTTCTAGAAGAAGCTAGCATTTGAAGTTGGCAGGTTATTTCATAGTTGAAGGTGAAATTTGGTTAAATAGTTTAGCTAGCATATAATTCCTATTGAATAGGACTACTCCATAGAACTTCAATATCATTTATGTCAATTGCAATTTTATGTAATATGTTGTATTATTTTTATTATTTTTAAACATTAAAATTGCATAAAACTTTTCATGGACGATCACATATTCAGGATAGCCTACTAATTTCTAGATTTATAATGTTACAGTAAAGTAGCATAATAATAAAATTTTAAGTAGTATAATTTATTGATAAAAATACCAGTATGTTTTCACCATTTGAATGTCTATATAAATCCCTACAAAACGGAAACATCTTCTGCAAGATGCCTAAATTCTGTAATTGCTAAAGTGATATATGGATCATTAGCTAACAGTTTGAACCAAGCTGTTTTATTTCTATAATTATACAAGAAATTTAAAGTGAAAATATCTATTAAACAATTAATAAAACCAGGCTTCAAAAGCAGAGTGATTTTGTCCTAATGGGAAATGGAAAATAGCAAAGCTGTTTTTGGAATTAGATTCTTGACTTCATTTTTAAATGCATCCATCACCTCTCATTTCATGAAGATTGTCTCAGTAAAAATTTCAGTTCAAGTAACCATGAAATAAAAGAGCCAATGTAACATCTTGTGAAACACCAGGACTGAGAACTCATGTAATCATTGCAAAGAGGCACTCTGGAGTCAGATGAACAGTGATTTGTATGGTGGCATAACCATTGGCTCCTGGCCAGGCATTATGTTCCAGAGGACACCATTGTCAGGAATCATTCAGCTAGAAATCTGCACTGTATGCTTTCAGAAGTTGAGATCATATGCCTTCCTATGTCAGGAAGAACTCTGTGCTAGCAATTGACTCATGCATTCTCTCCCATATATACTAACACTTAGTTCAATGGCTGATGGAATTAACAGTGTAGTCAAGATAGTAGCATTGACAAGACCACAGTCCCTGGAGAGTTCTGAATAAATTGCTAATTTAAACATGCCTTGAAATTCATAATATTGTATTCATGGCTGACAAAATCTTTAGATACATTACGTGTGGATTTGGCCACCTACATACTATTGTACTATTTACCCAGCTAATTTAGAGATTTTTTTTCAATGTAAAAAGATTGTGACAGTAACCATTTGTATAGAAACCCCCCCCAAGTTTGGAACAATCCAAAGGGATATATCCAATTAGAATAACATTGAGAAAAGAGAGTAAGTACAATTATCTATTGAGAAATTGCTGTCATTGACAGCAAAACTCAAAGCTAACCCTGATGTAGACTTCTTGCTTAATGACAGTACATCAGGAAGATGGCCACCCACATTAGGTTAGTGCTCAACGAATTTTGTTCATTTGTACCTGGTATCAGCAAGGTTGTCATGTGTCGTAAATTACAGATGGGCAATGATAGGAAACTCCCATGTCTAGTATTTGTTTTTGCAGCTTCCTTCTTTTAGGTTCTTATTCAAATATACTTCCTCAAACAGTCCTTTTTTGACATTCATCTAATGTAACCAACACCCAAAGTACTCAATTATATTATGCCTCCCTTTTTTGCTAGAGTTTTGCTCTACCCAGTATTATCTGTTGAGGCAATTCTAGACTACCTATCTCCTTTTACAAACAGTACGCTTTTCAAGAGGAACCCTGTATTTTTCCCTTGCTGCTGTTATCCTGGTGCTTAGAGACCAAGGGGAGCCTTAGTAAATATCAATTGTCTAAAAAAAAACGACTATATATCTGATGCTGAAACCTGTTGTCTGAATCACAGTGTTGTAAATCAATCTGTTGAAAATGGCATATACCACAAACGAGTCTCATTCCCATGACCATTAATTCTATAAAAGAGAACAATTGCAACTAATCTCCTATGATACTGTGTGACACTGAATTTCTTCTTCCCATTAAGAATCAGAATCCTGAGTTAACAGTCCTCTTTTCTTACTTATTGATTGATTCATTCATTTATTTTGACACATTTGGTTCAATATAATTGGACACTTGGACAGAAGAAAGATTAAACTACTATAGACTGTCTCCAGACCAGGATTTTCCTTTCACAAGTTAAATAAG